CAGCACAGCTAGAGCATACGTCACAATGAGCACATTTCTCCGAAACTACACTACCCATAATGCATTTCATTCAGGATTACATCAACCATAGATAGTGATCTTAAGCGATAACTCTTAACTCTAAAATCCCTTCTTTCCGCAACACTTTCATTGATATGACTGCGATAAGTGCGTGCTTCTGATGCTGATAATCGCCGATGTATGTGGTGAACTCCCGTTGAAATGCATACACAGAAATGCTTATTTCATTTAACCTGTTTCATGTCCGTTACTATCGGCGTGTCCTCAGAGCGATTACATATGCTCTAAACTGCGTTTTGCTCATTCTAGAACTCTGTGTGTGTATATATATATATATATATATATATATATATACTATATACACATTTTACAAGAAAATACAATTTCAGTCTTTCCATGTGTGGCTTGCCATTTCTAATTAATTGTTGCAGTTTGTAAATGAAAATTATTTCTTTATGCATTATTTTTTGATGTATTTAAAATATTTTTTTAATAAATTCATCTGAAAAATCTGTGTTTTTACCTAGTCCTAATGATCTGAAAGTAGCTTCATTAAATGCCATTAGTATTCAAGAATTGTATTTCAGAAACCATCATTGTAGTATTTGTTCTGCATTCTGCTATGAGAGACTATGACCTTTGAGTTCTCAAAGCAGATCTTGATCCGCGGCACTCCTCTGCTAACAGGTTTAGCGCCGCTGGCGTTGCCATCTCTACAGCAGCGGTTATTGTGCGCTAAAGCGCCGCTAAAGTCCCCGCGTATGGGTCCCATCAGCTGCACAAACGCCCGCTGTTCTCTGTAATGTCATTTAGCCGCGACTCTATCACACATAATTAGCATTTAGACAATAGCAGACACTTGGCATTTAATTACGGCTGGCCTTTGAGCGTAGCATGAACACCATGAGCTTTACTTCAAACCAGCAGCAGAAGAAGAGTTTTCAGAGCTGAACACATCCGATGGGATGAGATACGATTGATGAAGCACTGCGCGGCCAGAGATCGAGTAAAGGTCATGCTACACAGCGGCCGAGGGATTACATGATATCATGACACGACTGGTACAGCCACTGATCACGCGTAAGTGTGTGTGTGAGTGAGTCTTTTGTGTGTGTGTGTGTGTGTGTGAGTGTGTGGGTGTGAGTGTGTGTGTGTGTGTGTGAGTCTTTGTGTGTGTGAGAGTGTGTGTGTGTGTGTATGTGTGTGTGAGTCTTTGTGTGTGTGTGTGTGTGTGTGTGTGAGTGTGTGTGTGTGTGTGTGTGTGTGAGTGTGAGTGTGTGTGTGTGTGTGTGTGTGTGAGTGTGAGTGTGTGTGTGTGTGTGTGTGTGTGAGTGTGAGTGTGTGTGTGTGTGTGTGTGTGTGAGTGTGAGTGTGTGTGTGTGTGTGTGTGTGTGAGTGTGAGTGTGTGTGTGTGTGTGTGTGTGTGAGTGTGAGTGTGTGTGTGTGTGTGTGTGTGTGAGTGTGAGTGTGTGTGTGTGTGTGTGTGTGTGAGTGTGAGTGTGTGTGTGTGTGTGTGTGTGTGAGAGTGAGTGAGTGAGTGAGTTTGAGATGTATTTTAGCTTTTTGCTCAGATGTTGCTATTTCACAACTGTTTCTTGACACGTATGTTTCATTTAAGTATTAACTACAATAAGACTGTACAGTAAATACAGTAAGACTATACCGTGTGCAAAGTGTGAAAATAGAAATGTGCACTTGTAGTGTCCTTAAAAACTTAAAAGTATTTTTTTTTAAACTACATAGTATATAATATATTATTAAGGAAATAAAAGACCACTTAAGTGACTTAAATATAGACACTTTCATGGCTGTTTCTAAACACACTTAAGTACACTTTTAAAGTGAAAAGTTTTAAATTTTAAAGTTTTAAAAAGTTTTAAAACTTTTAAATTAAAAGTTTTACTTTAAAGTTCATTTTAAAGCATTATGTTTTAATAATATTTTGTGGTGTTTTAAAGAAGAACACTTATTTTGATGTGCTGACTAACATACTAAAGCACATGAAAATAACTTAATGATCATTTTAACAGTAGTGTGTTATTCAATATCACATTTAAAGTTAATATATTTTAGATAAACTGAATCGCAGCATCATCAATACTAATATATTTAAATACATGACACACACGTTTCAACAGAAACGACATTAAAATATATTTGAGTTTATCATAAATACTCGACAGTACATTCAGCAGTACTTTAACCACATTTCAGAGTCAATAGAACTATGAAATTACACAAAGATGTGCTCAAGTCCTACTTAAGAGGGTTAAAAACACTCTAAAGTTCAGCTAATTGCTTTTCATATAAGTTAAACTATAATGCATTTTAATTTAATTGCAATTAAAATCTGATTAAGTGTCTTAAAATATTACATTCAGTTCACACTTAAGTGTGTTCTTTTAAAGTTCATTAGTTCATGCTCAAGTGTATTTTTTCACAAGGATAGAGCAGGAAAATGAATGTAGATCAGAGCTCAGATCATTCGATGAGAAATGGTTTATGCGTCTCTCAGTCACTGTTAATCGGTCAGTCAGACGCTGGTGGCCATACGGTGACCTCTGACCTCTGGACGCTGTTCCCTTTTACACAGATATTGTCAGATGTTTTCTCACTGTGGCTGTGTGTGTGTGTGTGTGTGTGATTTGTGTTCCAGTAGTCAGTGTGTTTCTAATGTCTTCCATGTGAAACATTTCTGTTAAAGACATTTTAATAGACGGCATTGCGTCGTTTCAAGCTTATTCTGGACTGTTTGTGGTTATTACAGATGTTTAATATATGTGTAAGTGTTTCGTTCTGAGGTCAGAGCAACACCAGAATCATTGTTCTGATTCGTTTGAATCAGATGACAGATGCACAGATGCCTGGATGGACAGTTTAACAGCTTAAAATGTAATGCATTTAATTTTGCATGTGTTCAGTTGTAGAAATATCAACCTTAGCATGGAGGGAAAAAAAGGAAATAAAAGCTACAATGCATAACAAATGATAGTCTATTATTAAAATGTGTGTATTTGCTGTAATGTTTACCCCCGTCTCAGTATGAACACACTCAAAGCCTGCAGCTGATATTGATTATTTGCATAAATGTTAATGAGGAACACAAGCGGCAGAATGGCGTGAAGAATGACCCCGAGCTTCATAAGAGACGTTCACTAAAGACTTTCCCTCGTGCTTCGGCGTGTGAATGAATTGATGTGATTTTCAGTCGAGTCCGTCTCTCTCTCTGGATCAATGTCAGACAGATGAGTAACAAGAGGAGAAAAAAACACGGCCATTTTCTCGTTTATTTACAAATCGCCTGCCAACGTGGGCGACATGCGGTATTACTTATCTGTCAGATTTCTAGAGAGAGCGTGTGCTCCGCGTGCGAGTGTGATGGAAATTCACATTCAACAAAGAACCGGCTCATCGAGAGCAGATACAAAACACACATAATGGATGTGTCTGTCTCTCCGTCTGTCTCGCTCTCCCAACAAAAGCTGCGGATGAAAGCGGCGCCGAACACGAGACGGGAGCAGCTGATATCTGAACTATTAATTAATCACACAAATATATACACAGACTGGCATCTCGCGTTGCTGAATGCGTGCGTTTGTAGTCGGAATGAGCTCATAAAGGCCTGGCCCGAGCCAGCGATGCTATCGTGAACGGAAATAGCAAGCGTGGCCGTGCGTGTGACAGCGGTCAGCGGGCGACGAGAGCGAGCCAACTCTGACTTCCGAGCGTGAGCAGAAGTCCGGCCTGCGTCGCCTGTGTTTGTACCAAAGTAATGGAGAGGTTTCACTGCTGAACGCTCTGTGAAGACATGCTTCTGCAGACTGTGCTTTTAAATGAGTGTGCTTCACTTGAATTGAATCTGATCACAAACAATAAAAGACATCTTCTGATTGTTAAAGAGATGTGTTTAGCGAGTAAGCTCGTTTGAGTGTGTGTGTGTGTGTGTTTAACGTAGTGCTCTGCACTTATTGATTGCCAAGACAAAAGCTTATTAAGGCAAAACACCACAAATGAACAGGGTAAAACAATTGTAACTAATAGATTTCAGCATACTTCCCCAGTTGATTTAATCACAGTACATTAAGACGTTTTCTGAAATTGTACATTTAAATATGCAAATTATGCTTATATGCACCAATTTGCATAAACTTTTCTGAACACTGGATAAAGTCAGGTTCAATATTCTTGTTTGATTTTGCTGACATATTAAAGGTTTTTACATTGTATTTCTCTTTTCATTGCTGCATAAATCAGAAGATACTGGAAAAATACACATTTTCTCCATGTTTTTAGGAATAAATTCATTTCAAGTTTATTTGTATAGACGATACAAATCATTGCAAAGCAACTTTACAGCAAATCAAGTTTCTACAATATATATCAGTGGTGACTGTCAGTTAATGCACATATGGCAGAAATGTACGGAAAAATCGAAGACGAAATCAAACAGACGATGAACACTATTAACACTGTTATATGATGCAATCAAACTTATAGCAAAATGTGGTCGTTCTGTAAGTTGTTTCGGTGTTTGCATCGTCTCTTCTCAGGTGTTCTGGATCCAGACTGAAGCTTGTGTGTAAAATGTTGTATAAATCCGTGTGAATTATATATATGAACAAACCCCTCAGTAAAAACCTTCAGAATATAGACAGGAATAAAGCTCTAAGTTTTGGTGTGTGTAAGTGCTGCTGAAGTGGAGAAATAACTCGTTAGAGATATGGATTGGAATTGCAATCTACAGATGCCGATAGATAAAGTGCAATGAAATAATCACTTCAGTGTTTTGTCTTCTTTCCACTAGTCTGAAATAAGACATTTAATGGAGCAAAATAGACCTCAAAACTTACCAGTGCATAAAAAACAACAATGGTTTTGCCCGTTGCTTTAAATTCCAAAATAGTGTGCTCATGAATATTGGACTTCTCTTTTCTGTTCTGATGGATTGATTGCTCTGGTGTGTGTGTCTCTCTCTGCAGGTTGTGAGAGCGTTGCAGGAGCGTTGTGAGCTGGCACACTCCGCGGGTGAGTCGTAACATCATGCCTGTGCCAAGCGTCTGTGTAGCGTTACCCTCCGTCCGACACTGTCTCCTGCTGCTCAGCGCCTGGGTCCTGCTCTCCAGCGCCGAGTGTAAGTCTCACCTCTCATCTGCTGCTCTCTTCTCGTCTGTACTGTTTACTACGGGGTCGGGTCAGATGTGCTGTGTGTTTGATAGTTTGAGCCGGACACAGCTGATCGGGACACAGAATCTCCTGGTGTCCTGATGTCTCTGTTCCTGTCAAACCTCAAAGTTTTGCAGTGAAGCTGCAAACGTAGAAATGGAAAAGATACTGAAAATCCCAAACCAAAACTAAACAAGATGTGCGATACAGGACTAACACAAGCACACCAAAACATCTGCAGCTCCACACACACACACACACACACACACACACACCATGAAAAAGATTTCAAGTAAAGAATACATTAGAAGACTCATCAATAGCTATTTCTGTTTATGATACTCAGACCAACAACTTAACCCTGCCTCAAGCGTGATGTTTAACAAACACAAACTAATAGAACTAGCTCAGGTCACCTATGTGAAAAAGAAGTGCACTTGAGCATACTTTTAAAAAGAGTACGGATATAAACAATAAAAGAATATACTAAAGTGTGAACTGAATGTAATGTTTTTAAATTGCATGTTAATAGCAATTAAAGGAACTTGAATTTATATGAAATGCAATTAGCTGAACTTTAGAGTGTTTTTGACCCACTTAAGTACATCTTTGTATAGATAATTTCATAATTACTTACATTGTCTTTGAAGTACTGCGGACACAGAATCTCCTGGTGTCCTGATGTCTCTGTTCCTGTCAAACCTCAAAGTTTTGCAGTGAAGCTGCAAACGTAGAAATGGAAAAGATACTGAAAATCCCAAACCAAAACTAAACAAGATGTGCGATACAGGACTAACACAAGCACACCAAAACATCTGCAGCTCCACACACACACACACACACACACACCATGAAAAAGATTTCAAGTAAAGAATACATTAGAAGACTCATCAATAGCTATTTCTGTTTATGATACTCAAACCAACAACTTAACCCTGCCTCAAGCGTGATGTTTAACAAACACAAACTAATAGAACTAGCTCAGGTCACCTATGTGAAAAAGAAGTGCACTTGAGCATACTTTTAAAAAGAGTACGGATATAAACAATAAAAGAATATACTAAAGTGTGAACTGAATGTAATGTTTTTAAATTGCATGTTAATAGCAATTAAAGGAACTTGAATTTATATGAAATGCAATTAGCTGAACTTTAGAGTGTTTTTGACCCACTTAAGTACATCTTTGTATAGATAATTTCATAATTACTTACATTGTCTTTGAAGTACTGCTGAATTTATGATCAACTAAAATAATGAACCTACCATACAACATACCACGTGTTTAACAATATTTGTATAATGATGGTGTAATTTAGTGCATTTAAACTCTATTAACTTTAAATGTAATATTGAATAACACACTAGAGTTAAAATGATAATTAAGTTCTTTACATGTGCTTTAATATGTTAGTCAACGCATCAAAATACATGTACTTCTTTAAAACGCCACACAAGATTATTAAAACATAATGACTTAAAATAAATTAACTTTAAAGTAAATCTTTTAATTTGACATTATTGCAAAGTTCACTTTTTAAAAGTGTACTTAAGTGTGTTTAGAAACATAGTGATGGAAGTGTCTCTCTGTAAGTCACTTAAGTGGCCTTTTATTTCATTCATATTATATGATCTACAAGTACAGTTTTTAAATATTCTTTTAAGGTTTGTAGTACACAACAAGCGCACATGCAGGACACTTAAGTGCAGAGAGGATGTTAAACGCAATCAAACACGTGGCGTGTTGTTTGTTTTTCGTCATTGTTCTGCTGTGGTGATTTTGAGGTTTCATTTATTTGCTGTGTTATGAAGATGATTGCTAGATCAATATTTGCATATGGCTGCCAGGCAGGTTGTTATTTGCATTGTGTGCAGGCTCTATCAAATCCACATGCGACTACTTTGCATGAATGGTAATTTCATTGAAATGGCGAGCCATCCATCAGCGTTCAGCGTGTGATATGCGTGAGTTCATACGTGTTCAGGATCTGTATGTGGACACATGATGGTGATGGTGTTTAATTTTAGCACTCTGTAAGTTTTGCTGTGGTAGTAAAATCTTGTCAGCTCGTTTGCAGCTTCAGGCTTTAATTAGTGCTGCGCTGTTCCGGAGCTGATGGGAAAATGACAGGAATAATCAGGAACCATCATAGAGAGAGAGAGAGAGACTCTAGAGCTTCCCAAACCTACGGATCGACCCACGGAGATGATGGGAAAAAGAGCCGCCCAATATGGAGGATGAAGTTCAATCAAATGAAATGCTGTGCTAAATTCAGGATCACGCTGCTTTGTGTTTAGAGCGATCTGAAGCGTTCAAGGTTCCTGTTCTGTGAGTGTAGGCGTCAGCTGAGGGTGTGAGTCTGTCTGCTGTACAGTTACAGTCAAACACATCTGAGAATAATAAAAACACAAACATATCTGTGTCTGAGAGACACTTTCATAAACGGCAGCGTTTTGAGATCATTTCAGTCTGATCAACCACAGCTAAAAAGTCTGAAATTACCCAAATTATCCAGCAACAATTGATCATAAATCATTAAACTACCAATTACCGATTTCCTAGTTCATATTTCACTCATCGTCATTCTTCAGTAAGTAAAAACAGTCCAAAAGGATGTCAGCTGTTTACATCTATTGTTGTACGCAAATCAGAAAGAGGTTTCAGTGCAGTTCTCTCTTTCTGACGTCAAGCAGGATTTCATATCGTAGCCTGTGGAAGTGAGGGCAGGCGTCTCTGCAAGCACTCTTGAGGATGAGTGTATGCACTTTTCATAGCTTTTTATAACAACATGGAATGAAAAAAAGGCATTGTCAGGTTCAGATGACTTTTATGGAGGATGTCTTGACATTTCAGGCTGAAGTAGAAAACGCTGTAGTCAAGTTCGTGTGAATCGATTCTGAAATAAAAAGCTAAAATGACCCTGGATTCCATGTAAACCTTGGACTAGCATAAATGTTCAAGTATTGTTTTTTGTTGTGGTTATAAACAAACCACACATTTGTTGTTGTTGCAGTAATTATTAAATATCATCTGAGCTAACATCTAGTCAGCAGAGCAACCTTCAATGTGCCGTCAGAAACATAATGATTCACTTCAGGATCAAAATAAACACTGATTATGGTCTAAAAAAAACAACATATCAAATGTGCATTTATTTTAAATCTTCATATCTGTGATAGGTTTAGTTGCCAACTGGTCTAAATGTGTATATTGTACAATCTATAGTTTATTTTGAAGTATCTTAAATATGTCTTAATTATAATTAAATAAGAATATTAAATAAATAATAATAACAATAATAATTTTCACGACACCTATTTCTGCTTTTTCTCTTTCTTTAAAATTTTAGATGCAATCTTTTTGTTCACAGTCACGCTAATGATCTCTAATAGCTTGTGTCTGAATGACTGACTGTTTTCTGATTGTAGTGAGATATAAAAATACTTGTAAGTGGAAAAGTGGAAACCGCTCTTTAGGAAATAGACAGCTGACATTATAGAGAGTGAGAGAGACAGACGGACAGACAGTCAGAGGGCAGTGTTCGCACTCGCGCTCGTGTTTATCATGCCCACAAGCTTTGCACAGCGGCAGCTGTTTAGCGTCTGCTGTTTCACACACACACACACACACACACACACACACACATATGATCCTTCTTAAAGTGTGAGTGTGTTCAGTGCGGCCGTCACATTGATGATTTTGCAGTTAATGAAATTGAACGGCTTTTGTCCCATTGCATTATGGGATTGTTCCCCACACACACACACACACACACACACACACACACACACACACAGAAGAGCAGAAGCAGTTTTTCCTCATCGACACGGCTCTTTTTACCGCCTCTGTCAGACGTGAAGTAAGACGGCATTGGACAATTCTCATGGGGGTGTCACCCAAATCTAGTAATTATCACCTGCATGCAAATGAATTGTCCACTCTGCATGCTAGATTATGAATATTCATGATGCATATGAGTGCAGCTAATTAGTGTAGAACAGAGAGTGCAAATCAACAACACTTGTAAGAACACACACACATCACTCGTTGCATATTGGCTTAATACTCTATTTTAAATATTTGCATAGAAAGAATAAGTGCGATATTTTGCATGTAAATGAGCTGAAATGAAAGTAGAAAGTAGAAAATTCCTGTCATTTATTCGCCCTTCTGAACCTTTCTTTCTTCTGTGGAACAAAAGGAAATATTATAAATAATGTACCAGTCACTCTTTTCCTTTTACTTGCAATGGATTTGAACTGAAAGTCTTAAAAAATAGACCCGAAAGCACCATTGCTCCATCAATCATCATTCCCTCAAACTCCCAAAGACAGTGGAAATACAGATTTTCAGTAAATGTCAGATCAAATTTCTACCCTTTCCTCATGCTGTTTTAGAATGGATTATGGAATGCAGTCTTATGAAGTCGTATGGAACACTGTTATAATAGATTTAAATTATTTGTATCCATTCTTCAGAACATCTCAGTTTGAGTTCCACTGAAGAAAGTCAGTCATACATGTTTCTAAAGACGTGAGGGAAAGAAAATTGTGTTTTTGGGCGAACTAAATCTTCATCAGACACTGTTCGTTTAGTGGTGCTATTTTAAGGGACTCGTACCTTCCACAAACAACAAACCTCTCGCCAAAAATAAATAAATAAATGAAATAATAAAATAAAATAAAACACGGGATCAATAAGCCCAACGAGTGCGGCTCCTTCTTCACAGAATGAGAGCAACTGCAATTTCACACTTCCTGAACTGCCGCCGCTCATTATGGGATTTAATTGGCTGAACTATTCGCCCAGTCAGCCGTGACCGTTTGGGCGGAGCAGGAGGCATTTTCACTATTACGTCCCATCAGGGGGTCGTCATCACGATCGCTGAAAACACACACACACTCTCCATTCATACTCCATTTGTACCAAATACAAGATGTATTGATCAAACAGTAATTAAATTGCCCTCT